TGAGGTAGGAGGATCACAAGTTCAAAACCAGCCTCAGCAACTTAGTGAGGTCATATCTCAAAATTAAAAAAAAGGGCTGGATGTGGGCTGGGGTTGTGGCTGAGTGGTAGAGTGCTTGCCTAACGTGTGTGGCCCTGGGTTCAATTCTCAGTATCACATATAAATAAATGAATAAAATAAAGGTTCATCAACAAAAGATATTTTTTTAAAAAAGGGTTGGGATGTGGCTTAGTGGTTAAGCACCCCTGAGTTCAATTCCTGGTATCCCCCACCCCTTCAAAAGAACAAAATTGACTTTAGAAGTGTCAATTTTAGGGTCTGTTTATATACTTTATAATTTCTTCATTGATATTGGGATTTAGTTCATTCTGTACTGTATTAACTATTAACTCTAACCAGCAAATTTGGTAATTACAGAATTAGAATACCTTTTATTATATATAGCAGTTCCCCCTATCCTGTAGATAACGAAGTCCTGAAAATATTAGGTGGAAAATTCCATAAGTAAATGATAAGTTATATATTGTGTTTCATACTGAGAATGATGATGAAATCTCATCCTTTTCTGCTCTGTCCCACCCAGGAAGTGAATCATTTCTTTGTCCTAATGCATTCGTCCATACTGTATATGCTGCCTGTCAGTCACTTGGTTATCATCTAGGGTGTCAGATGGTCTCTCAGAATGTGTTCAAGAAACTTTTATTTAATAACACCCCCAAAGTGCAAGAGTCTGGTGGTGGCCATTTGAAAGTGCCAAAGAGAAGCCATAGTGTTACCTTAAAATGAAAAAATGTAATTTCTCCACTTAATAAGGAAAGGGAAAAAAAAAGGTATATGCAGAGGTTGCTAGGATCTATGGTAAGAAGGAGTTTTCTATCTATGAAATTGTGAAGGACAAAGAACTGTGTGTTAGTTTACTTTGACATCTCAAAGTGCAAAAAAATATTATGGTACAATAGCTCATAAAAGAAAACATTAATGTATTTTGAGGGAAAAACTACATTTTTATAACTTTTATTAATAGTATATTGATTTTCGTTTTAATTTTTTGGTACCAGGGATTGAACCCAGGGGTGCTTAACCAAAGCTAAGCCACCTCCCCATCCCTTTTTTATTTTTTGAGACAGGGTCTCACAGAGTTGCTTAAGGCCTTGCTAAATTGCTGAGGCTGACCTGGAATTTACAATATACCTGCCTCAGCCTCACGAGTTGCTGGGATTACAGGCATGCACCACTGTGCTCAGCTATTGTACATTGTTATTATATCTTGTTGTGCTATTATTAGTTATTAGTGTTGTGCCTAATTTTTAAATTAAACTTTATCAGAAATATGTACATATAGGAAAAAACATAGTGTATATAGGGTTTGATACCATCCTCAGTTTCAGGTATGCAGATAAGGAGTACTACTCTATTAACTATTAACTCTAACCAGCAAATTTGGTAATGATTAAAGGGTCAGATGGAGGGTCCAGATAATTTAGCATATTCATTTCAAGAGAAAATAGATGTATAATTATTTGTCCTTAAAGCCAATGGGTTTAGAAGAGGGGTTACTCTTAAAAAGTTAAGGACTAGGGCTGGAGTTGTAGCTCAGTGTTAGAGCACTAGCCTAGCATGTGTGAGGCACTAGGTTTGATGCTCAACACCACCATAAAATAAATAAAACAGAGGTACTGTGTGCATCTACAAATGATATATATATGTATATATATATATATATATATATATATATATATATATACACACACACATACATGTATGTATATAAAAGTTAAGGACTAGTTAAAGTTAAAAGTTTGGTACTGGGGATTTAACCCAGGGGCTATTTAGCAGTGAACTAAATCACTAGGATTACAGGCCTGTGTCCCCACGCCTAAAAAATAAAAACTTAAAACTCTTTGAATAATTGAAATATTCATATGGTATAAATTCAGAATAAACAAATGCCCCCTCCTTTTTTTTTCCTTAAGAGCTGAGATCTTGTTATGTTTCTAGGATTCCTTAATCCCAAATTCCTGGACTGAAGAGATCCTTTTTCCTCCTCCTTGTAGCTGAGACTGCAGGCATGGGATATTCCTGGCTACAGAAGATACAGAAATGTATACACAGTAAAGTCTTCTATTTCTGCTCCTAGGCACATAGGCCATAGTCAGCTAGTTACATAATTATTTTAAAGTATTAAATTTTTAAGGTTTAGAATTTAGAACTATCTATAAATGAACACCACTATTTTACTATTGTGTGGGAATTTCCACATCAGCATTTGATTTTTGTTTTGGGTAATAGTTTTTGTTTACATGTGGGTAAATTGTATTTATATATAAACATTTGTACCCATATATAAATGTATAATTTGATTCAAAATGTAAAATGTATAGAAAATTAGGAAACCAAGAAAAAAGTCGTTATCTGATCACCACAATAGTAACTAGTATAATCATTTTTTATATTATTTTTTAGTTGGACACAATATCTTTATTTAATTAATTTATTTATTATGTGGTGCTGAGTATCAAACCCAGGGCCTCACACATGCTAGGTGAGCACTCTACCACTGAGCCACAACCCTAGCCCTAGTGTAATCATTTTAAGGTAGAATAATCTTTTCCAAGTTTAAATTCTGGGTACATAGTAATTCTAAATACTTTTTTAACCACAAGAATTTCACATGGAGCGTGATGGATTTCTAACATCCTTTTTATGAGGGAAAGGAAATTAGTAAATGTTTTTCTTGTAAGAAGGAGCAGAGAACTACCCTCTATTGAAGAGGAAAAGGGAATTAGTGATTAGAGAGGGGTTAAATAAGGATACATATTTTTATAGTACAGCTTAAGAAAAAATTAAGGCAAAAACCCAACTTGCAGTAATTGTGGATCCTTAGAACTGTTTTTTAAAAACTTTTATTTATTATTTACTTGATGCTAGGGATTGAACACAAGGCCTTGTGTATGCTGAGCAATCACTCTACCACTGAACTACACCTCCAGCTCTTTTTCTTAAAGTAAGGGATTAATTGGAAATGTAGAGAGGATAAGCTGATAGTCAGATTACACCATTTGTTATATTTTACTATTCCATGTTTTGATGGTCAGTATCATGGAGGATTTATTTAAAAAGGAAAAGAAAGAAAAAACTTTCCAAGTCTTAAGTTCAGTCTATATCTACTACCACAATGGAGTCTGAGCAACAGAAGTCAAAGACTCAAAATCATAAAATATAAAGGTAGTGAGTGTTTGGATAAAAAAATAAAAATGACTGCTGCACAGGATTCTGCCTCAAATCAAAATTTATTAGCCTCTAGATGGGCGTGGGGACACAGGCCTGTAATCCTAGTGATTTAGTTCACTGCTAAATAGCCCCTGGGTTAAATCCCCAGTACCAAAAAAAGAAAAAAAAAAAAAAAAGTAGACTTTTGGTACAACTACAGGATGGGTGGTTCCAAGAAGATTCTGGAAATCAGTGGATAATGTTGAATAACAATTGCCTGTTATTACTAATTCAAGATAAATAAAATGTCAGTAATCTTTCTTTATATCACTTTAAAAGGGTTTTCCTAATATCATCTGGAACTAATGTTCTAACCCAAAGTTCCCATAAATTTTCCAGTTGCTCAACCCAGAGTTTCCTACTATGTTTTTTTTTTTTTTAAAACTCAGGGGTGCTTAACTACTGAGCCACATCCCCAGCCCTTTTTTATGTTTTATTTAGAGACAGGGTCTCACTGAGTTGCTTAGTGCCTCGCTATGTTGCTGAGGCTGGCTTTGAACTTGTGATCTGCCTGCCTCAGCCTCCTGAGACACTGGGATTACAGGTGTGTACTACTATATCCAGTTCTATTATGTTGTTTTTTATGAGCCCTCTTTTTTAAAGTACTGTCTTTATAGGTGCCATTTTATATTCTGCTTAATTATGTTTGTTCACTAAATACATAAACCTTTTTCTTTTACTACAATTTTTTTTTCTCACTCTGAAACCGGTATACTTTAATCAAACAAACAAAAATACAGGTTTTTTTTTCTTGTGACAAGGTCTCTCTATGTATGTTACCAAGGCTTTTTTTGAACTTCTGCACTCAAATGATCCTCTTATTTCAGCCTCTGGAGTAGCTGGGACTTCGGGCACATGCTATCAAGCCTGCATCACACAGAATGTATTACAAAGTCAGTGGTTCAGTTTTCATAGTTGGTCCACATATTTTTTTTATAATACTACCACTTGAATCCAAGGTCTCACACATGCTGAGCAAGCACTCTACTGTTAAATTACATCTCCAGCTCTAATTTTATTTTGAGACAAGGTCTCAATAAATTGCCAAGATTGGCCTTGAAATTATTGTCCTCCTGTTTCAGCCTCCTGAGTGGCTGAATTACAGGTGCATGCCACCTCTCCTAGCTCTTGTTTTATTTTTAAAATGAGTATGCTATATTATGCAGGCTAACTTAGAACTTGTGGGTTCAAGTAATTGTCTTGTCTCAGACTCCCAAGTAGTGTATACCACAATGCCTGACTGATCTGAATATTTTTAGTTCTTGATACCTATTGCCAAATTGCATCCCAGAGGGTTGAGAGTTGTAACAGTTCATTATAGGATTAATAATATATGACTAAACTTCTATTGAATTTTTTGTTTTTAGGTTAAAATTTATATTAATTGCATTTAATTAATGATGCAACTAAGGTACTTTTTCACACTGTTGGGAGAATTAAACCCAGAACCTTTTATACATGCACTCTTTCACCGAGCTACATCCCCAGCCCATTTATCTAATTTTTTCCCCCTCATTTCTCTAATTTTTAAATTAGCTGTATTGACTCATTTGGGAATTATCTTTTCCCTTAGGCTTTACCTATTTAAAAAAAAATTTAGTGGAACTGGGCATGGTGGTACATGCTTGTAATCCCAGAGGTTTTGGAGTGAGGCAGGAGAATCAAAAGTTGGAAGCCAGTTTGGGCAACTAAGTGAGACTCTATGTCTAAAAATAAAAAGCTCTGGTGGTCAACATCCACTGATAGACCTTGAACAATTTGCTGTGTTCTTTTGGTTTGCACTAGGATGCAAAAGAAAATAATCCCTGTGCTTTCTGTCTTTGTAACATTCCAGATTGAATTGGGGAACACATCTATAGAAAAAGAAAGAAAGAAAAAAAGTCTGGTGGCGGCTCAGGGGTAAAGTGCCCCTGGGTTTAATCCCCAGTACTGGGAAGAGGGATAAGTAGAGACACTACCGGCTGTTTTAACTGTTCTCTTCACATTTAAGAGATTTATTTACCCTTCTGCTCATTAGCCCTTGATTTTTAGTCATCTTCAGGGTTTTGTTTTATGTAAATCTCATGACCAAGACTTTGTTAATCCTGTTGTATTCTTTAGAAATTTTGTTTTGCCTGTTAAATTTATTAAATATGGAAAAGTTGCTAGCCATTAGTAAAAGAAGAAGAAATAAGGCCATTTTAGGTAAAAATCAGATAATGGTAGTTCCATCCAAATTAATATGAGAACTATTTTGAGTTAATTTAGTTTGTGGTTGTATTATATGCTTTAAAAATTCATGACTGATTCTCTCAAGCATTTTATTTTAAAAACATTTTTGAAATATTTACAATTTTGCATTGCTGTGTTACAAAAATAGCGAACCCTTTTGAAAATTATTTTTATGATCTTGAAGATTACATTTTATGTTTTGAGCATATTTGTTACCCCTAGGAATTAGTAAAATTTAGCCCAGGGCACTTAACCACTGAGCCACATCCCCAGCCCCTTTTTATTTTTAATTTTGAGACAGAGTCTCATTAAGTTGCTTAGGGCCTTGCTAAATTACTGAGGTTGGCTTTATCCTGCCTCAGCCTCCCTAGCCGCTGGGATTACAGGTGTGCACCACTGTGTCCAGCTCTATTATTGGCTTTTTATTATTTTTTTAAAGATATTTATTTTTTAGTTGTAGGTGGATACAAAATCATTAATTAATTAATTAATTTTTATGTCGTGCTGAGGATTGAACCCAGGGCCTCTCCTGTGCTAGGTGAGCGCTCTACCGCTGAGCCACAACTCGAGCCCCTATTATTGGCTTTTAATCTACTATTATTACAATAAGATTGAGAACTTTTTGTAGATTATTTGCTTTTCTTTCATCTAGATATCTTCAAAGTGAAATTAAAATTCTGTTTTCACATATTTTTCTACTAAAATAACTATCATTTCAGACTGTTAACGAGTTAATGAAACTATAAATCATAGAAAAATAGTTCAAATCCAAGACAGAAACTGAAAATAACATAATAACATGAAATTGGGTTGAGGAGGTAATTAAATGGTAGAACACTTGCCTAGCATGGGCAAAGGGCTCTGGGTTTAATCCCTAGCACTGAAAGCAATGTTTTTGAAGAAATATTTGGGAAGGGTTTACTTATTTATTTTGCAGTACTGGGGATCAAATCCAGGGCCAATGCATGCTAGACAAGAACTCTACCACTGAGCTACATCCCAGTCCTTTTTATTTAAATACATGGGCTTGATAAATTTGTGATACTCCTGCCTTAGCCTCCCAAGTAGCTGGATTACAGGCATGTGACACCTTACCTGGTTTATTTTAATTTGCTTTATTATTTTAATAAATATGCCAGTATCTTCCAGAGTTATGTTAACGGAATTAAAGAGTGATAATAAACCTTGGGTTTTCATTATCTGGGGGAAGGGTTTCTTTTGACAATTTCCTTCAGCTTTTTTCCTTTTTCAGAGATGATTTTTTGTGGCTATGAGGGGCTGAGGCTCTTTATTTGATATTTAATAGACTTGGAAGACATTTTTCATTATATATTTAGGGAGGAAAGTGTTTATATGATGGTAAGCGAGTGTGAGTTCACATTAGTTGTATTGATGAAAAAATACCTGGTTACCTGGTTGATATGTATCCTTGTGTGTGTGTGTGTGTGTGTGTGTGTGTGTGTGTGTGTGTGTAGAAGACTGAACCCAGGGCCCTGGGCATGCTAGGCAAGCATTCTATACTGACTTACATTCCCAGTTCTTTTTTAACTTTTATTTTTTGAGACAGGGTCTTGTTAAGCCATACAGGCTGGCCTCAAATTTTTTGATCCTTTTGCTTTTGCGGTCTAGAAGAACTGGGATTACAGACATGAGCCTCCACACCCATATGGGATATATCCTTTTAAGGAGCTTTTACATTGTAATTTTTTTAAAAATTGAAGATATTGCCAGGCTTGGTAGCTCCTGCTTGTATTCCTAGTGACGTGGGAGTCTTAGATAGGAGAATCAACAAGTTTGGAGCCAGCCACAGCAGCTTAGAAAGGCCCTAAAACTTAGACCCAGTCTCAAAAAATAAAAAGGATTGGGTATGTGGCTCAGTGGTTAAGTGCTTCTGGATTCAATTCCTGGTTTAAAAAAAAAAGCCAGTAATATAAAGTACTCCCAAAATCAGTAAGAGAAAAAAGAATTTGAACAGGAAGATATATAAATCCTGGTAAATTTGAAAAACTGCTCACTCAGTTTTGTTAAAATTGGGAAATAAAAACAGGGATACTCTTTGAGCCTGACATACTGACAGAGTTTTAAAAATTGATTATATCTACATACTACTATATAATTAGTAATCTGTAGTTGTACTCTATAATTTGTAATATATACTATGTACTGTTGGTAGAATTGTTTTAACTAGGGATGGATTATGTGTAGTTTATTCGTACAGTGCTTGTCTAGCGTCATATACAAGGCTCTGGGTTCCTTCCCCAGTACCACAAAAATAAAATGGTAAAGCCTTTTTATGCATTCCTTTAAATCTGGAGATTTCTTTTTCAGTCTTACAAAATATAGGTACAAAGATGGTTGTTGCAATATTTTTTAAAAATTGAAAATGCCATACTTAGTCTCCAATGAAGGAGTGCTTAAGTTATTTTATTTATTCATGTTTTAGAGTATTATATAGCCATTATAAAGTGAGATAGAGCCTTGTTTTTTTGTGTATATGTACCAGGAATTTTACCTGAGCCACATCCCCATTAAAAAAATAAATAGATAGATAGATAGATAGATAGATAGATATAAATAAATAAATGAATAAATGTATAAATAAATTAAATTTTTTTGGTGGGGAGGCGGATACCAGGGATTGAACTCAGGGGCATTTGACCACTGAGCTACATCCCTAGTCCTATTTTGTATTTTATTAGAGATAGGGTCTCACTGAGTTGTTTAGTGTCTCGCTAAATTCTGAGGCTGGTTTTGAGCTAGTGATCCTCCTGCCTCCACCTCCTACCTCCACCTCCCCAGCCGCTGGGATTACAGCATGCACCACCACGCCTGGCCTAAATATATATATATTATTTTTTAAAAAATATATTTTTAGTTGTAGATGAACACAATGCCTTTATTTTTTATTTTTATTTTTATGTGGTTATGAGGAACCCCGTGTCTCTATATGCAAGGCAAGTGCTCTGCCACTGAGCCACAATTCCAGCCTTAATATATATAATTTTTTAGTTGTCGATGGAACTTTATTTATTTACATGCAGTGCTGAGAATTGAACCCAGTGCCTCACACATGCTAGACAAGCGCTCTACCATTGAGCTATAACCCCAGCTCCCATATCCCCATTTTTTGAGATAGGATCTTGCTGAGTTGCTTAGGGCCTCAGAAATGTGGCCGGCTTTGAATTGTGATACTCCTGCCTTCAGACTCTGGCCTTATTAAGAACTATGCCACCATACCCAGCTGAGTTTTATATATTGAAATGAAAGTTCTCCAAGACTTAAGTTACAGAAAAGCAAGATGCAGAACATATAAAACACATACCAAACACCTCATAAAACTACACACACACACACACACCCACCCCTGTGTGTGTGTGTGTGTGTGTGTATAAATGTGTGTTAAAAGACCTGAAAGTAGGGGCTGGGGCTGTAGCTCAGTGGTAAAGCGCTTGCCCACATGTGTGAGGCAGTGGGTTCTATCCTCAGCACCACATAAAAATAAAGATACTATGTGTTCATCTACAAATAAATAAATATTTTTAAAAAGACCTGAAGGTATTCATTTGAGACTGTTAAGTGATGACCTTTGGGGGAAAGGAAGAATTATGGAGAGAATAGGAAGTTTGATATTTTCCATTGTACTTTATGTACTCTGGTGACCCACTGAAATTGATCTGATAAAAATATAAAGGACTATCTTTGCTGTTGTTACTATTTCTTACTAAGAATTTTGGCCTTATTAAGATCCAGTCCTGTCCTACCCCCACCCCGCCCACTGGGGATGTCACCCAGGGGTGCTCTACCACTAAGCTACATTCCCAGCCCTTTTTATTTTTTGAGACAGATCTTGCTAAGCTGTCCATGTTGGTCTAGGATCTGCAGTCCTCCTTCCTTAACCTCTCTAGCAGCTGGGATTACAGGTGTGCATCACAATACCTGGTACCTTCTTATGAACTGCTTTTAAGGAATCAAGTCCTCATTCTAAGCCTAATTCTACAACAATAATTTTTTTAAAAGCACTTTTTTTTTTTTTGTACTGGGGGTTGAACTCAGGGGCATTCAACCTACATCCCCATCCCTATTTTGTATTTTATTTAGAGATAGGGTCTCACTAAATTGCTTAGCGCCTCACTTTTGCTGAGGCTGGCTTTGATCTCATGATCCTCCTGCCTCAGCCTCCCAAGCAACTGGGATTACAGGCTTACTCCACCATGCCAGGCGAAAAGCACTTTGTAGTAGAAGAACGATATCTCCTTTTTAACCAGAATTGTAAGCAGGAAATTAAATTTGATTCTCCAAAGCTGAAATTACATAAATCAAACACCCTATCATGAGGTAAAGTGTTTTAAGGTTCTAATAGCCAATGATAAATTGGTTAATAGCTTTGGAAAATTCCCTCACCACATATAGAAACAGGTGACTCAACTAATTTATTACTTCCAAACTCTACGAGGAAAGGTTATATTACTTGTAATAGAGATAGAAAATGACCCAGATCAGCAAATAAGGGGAATTGTTTTTGCTTTCTCAACATACAGAGCACATTATTTCACTTCGTTTCTGTGCTGTGAATTGTTTAAGAGTGGATGGGTTTGAGAGCTTTAAATATGTGTACTTATTTTACTTAATACTACATTAAAAATG